AAGCGTGCTCGCATTTTGCGGATTTTCTTCGAAAAACCTTATATTTAGTGAACTAAAAGATTTTGTGTTAATACTAAACAATAATCTCAACATTGTGGATAAAAGTTCCGAATATTTCCGAGTTTTTTCGCCTTTTTTTATGTTAACTTATTTCAGTTGAAGCCCCTTTGTGGCCACCCATCATCCAAGGTGAGTTTTTAAGGAATAATCCCTATAAAAAAAGAATATTATTAAACTTTTAATCGTCCTAATTTTGACAATATATTTTTAGGCCTCTTATGTAGACTTTCACTTTCACTCTTATGCTGATTTACAATCTCATTTCAAATTTCAATCTCAAGTTAAATTTTTTTTTATTTTACTATATCTAGTCTGGAACCCGGAAGTTCCTAGACACCGAATTACTTAAATACACCAAATAAAGCTAATGAAGGAATCCAACCAGTCCATCTCTTTGAGTTTAAAACAACTGGAGACTCAACTCATGGTTAACAGAAGACCTGGAAAAAACAGCTAAAAATAATATTTAAATACTAACCTTATTTATACCTAATTATTTTTTTATGCATTTGTCTTTTCACCCGATTGGTGACGTTCGTATATTATTTGCTTTGATTTTATAAAATTTATTGTACCAATTAAGGAGGTCCTTTCGCCACACCTCTCGCCTCAAATGTTAAAAAAAAAGTTATTAGATTATGACTAAAATTAATTTTTTTCTAATAGTTGAAGTCCTTATTTATCTAATACTGAACTTTTAACTATACCTTACCTTGCAAATTTTTGAGAATTTTTTTTTAAATGTGAGTATTTGTTCAGTGCCTCACGAGAAAGTAAGTCCTCAACAACAATTCTCGAATTATACTATTATTTATTGATTAGATGGAGTAGAAAAAAACTAAAAATAAGGTTTTTGAAATATTTAGATTTTGTTTTATACAATAAAATATATATAGTAAACCGTGGAACTTATTGAGAAATTAATATTAAAAAATCACAAAAATTTTTCAAGTAACCTAGTGATTTTTTAATAATAATTTCTCAATAAATTCCACGGTAGCCTATATATTTTATTATAAAAAACAAAATCTAAATATTTCAAAAACCTTATTTTTAGTTTTTTTCTACTCCATCTAATCAATAAATAATAGTAAAATTAATTATAATTTGAAAATTGTTGTTGAAGTCTTACTTTCTCATAAGACACTGTACAAACACACACATTTAAAAAAAAAATTCTCAAAAATTTGCACGGTAAGGTATAGTTAAAAGTTCACTATTAGATAAATAAGGACATCTACTATTAGAAAAAAATTAATTTTAGTCATAATCTAATATTTTTTATTTAACATTGGTGGCGAAAGGACCTCCTTAATCTAATTTTATTAATATCATTTATTAACTATTTCTAGAAATAAACTACATCTTTCCGTAGGTTGTTACGAAAAGACTAATATTTATTCACCTCTACCTACATAAATATGTATTTCGTGCAAAATTTTTAAAAATTAAATAGTGACAAGGGTCGTCACTTTCATCGCCTCTGAGTATAAAAAGTTAAATTATTATGAACATTTTACACTTTTTTTATAGAAAATCAAAGGCTCTTATTTTACAACCTTTCCATGACAATGAGAAACGTTTTCTGAAAAATTATTCTGGACTTTTTTTTGATATTTGAGAGGGTCTTTTAGTTTAGATAACTAAAGTTGATAATTTGATTTTTCACGTGGAATAAACTATTATGACAAACACGCATAACTGGCAGTTATTATTTGTCTCAATAGTCATGACTCACCCTGTATACGGTTAATATTAGAATTTCCACATGGAACGTATGAGGCCAGAGGTGAAAATGATACAATTAATCAAATCATTTCAGGGTTGCTTATACGTCAAATATAGGAAGTAAATACCTGATACTTTCAGAAAATGTTGCCTGGAACCTAAATAAACGTTTAGTAGTTGCATAATACATAATTACTTATCTAGTTAACTTACTGCTTTTAATAAATATAAATTAAATCATTTTTACGCGCTCGTACTAATTTCTTCCGTCGTGCCCCTCAACAACACGGTCATACGGGAGGCAATTTAAAACCTTACAATTACTATATCTCATGAACTTAAGATGATATAAAAGTAGAACCTAATAAAAACAATTTATATATAGTACCTATATTACATTACGAGTGTGGAAAATCACTTTTCACACAAGTGATGTACAATATTTTTCCTACGACCACAAAATAATGTCATCAAAAAATGTAAAACCAAGGTTATTATTACTATAATAATTAAAATGTATTTAAAAAAATAATCAACAATAATCGTATTTATTTAATTTTCATATTTTCTAAACAAAAAAAAACTAAAAAAAAAAAATAAAAAACAAAAAATTCTGCCCCGCCAGGATTCGAACGCGGTCTCAAATAGCGCAAAGTTGATAAGTTAGATGTTCTAACCACCTGAGCTAATAGCCCTTGTGTCAATTGAATTATTTAATGGGTTATGTATTTAACCAGAATAAAGAGCAAACATTATTTTAAAATTATTTTAATAATAATTGTTAAAGATAAATATCTAGGATCTAATTTACAACAACTTCAATAATTTATTAATCACATCGATTTTAGTATTAATATGGACATAACATAGATCAAAATAGAAATTAGGTGTTTGACATTTTGTGACAACTACTGCGGAAAGTAACATATTCGTACACGGGTGGAAAGTAAATTCTTATTTATACGCGTGTGATATGGGGCACTTTCCATAGGACTATATAGTGTGATATGTGTCACTTTCCTAAGTGGTCTTAGGAAATAGTAGTTTACCTAACGAGTGCGGAAAGTAATACTTTTCCGCACGCGATTGTCGATGGCCGAACACGCGTTAGCGGAGTTCGGTCAGGAATCGCGTGCGGAAAAGTCACTTTACCCACGTGTTAGGTACACTATTTTTTCTACTAGCGTGCGGAAAAAACCCAAAAGTTAACATAAACATTTATTATTAAATACATATCAACAAATTAATTATTCTTAATATTAATATTGAACGTGCAATTTGTAGCATTCTGTAAATTAATTGCAGATGCTAAAATGTTTTCCAATGAAGTCATATTTCGGTTTTCCACTGCTTTGTCAGCACTAATTGTTGTAACCGTGGCCATGGGAACTTGGCTGGAAGAGGTAATTTTGGAAGGCTTTACTGGTGACAGCTG